TGAAAAAGTATAACTTGGAAACAGTAACACCATTCATTAATCTAACATAGAGTTTACCATGTTGATGCAAACCAACAGTGATAGTCTTCTTATACTTGTCACCTTCATCAACGAGTTCCATAACGTGCAATGGTTCACTAGTATCCATCAATGGAAGTTGCTTTCTATTCAAAAGCTTTGGACTCATCAAGACAATAATATCATCCAAACGTTGATCCAAAGTATTGGATTGCAATACTTGACTCAAAAAGGCTGAATCATCAGTTGATTCAATTTCAAATTCTTGATCATTGTAAATAAAGGAAACAACAGAATCAAGTGTACTGACACTCTTTCCCAAATGCTTGGCCAATTGAACTTGAAGATCGGAACGGAAATTCTTCCATGTCAATTCATGAGGAGCATATTTCAAGTTAGTATAAACAAACTTTAATTGCACTTCTTCTTGTGGATCTTGATTTCTAGATGGTGGATTAGAAAGTGATTTGTAATAAACTCTAATCTTGGTCACTGGAGCTTGTCTTGAGGTTGTCATCTTTTTCGGGAGTGTGAGGAGGAAATTAGTGTGTAGTTTTTGTTTTGATCAAAAAAAGTTTATGCACGAGCAAGGCTTTCCAAACTTTTGTGATTTTTTTTTTAAGTTGTAAAAATTCAAATCGTTGGCGCAAATCTTTTTAAATCAGCGCCGTAATCAAGAGCTTAAAAAACAAGTTTGTTGCGCAGAAGAAAATTCGAGTTGAAAAATTTCTTGAATGTGAAAGAGATCAATTTTGAAAGTCTTTCCGAGGTAATTGATTGAATGTGGTGGAACGAGAATGAGATGACGGATTACAATGAGTGATGGCAATGTTCAGTGGAAGTTCGAAGCTGGTTGTTCGAATTTCTGCTCGGAATGGAAATTTTGATTGGAAGTTGTTTCGATTTGATTGCTTTGAATGTTGAAGCTGGTGTTTTGAATATTGAGGTGTTATTGTATTATTTGTGAATGTTCTTTATTTAATAATTTACAATTAACAAACCGTAGTCTTTGATTTATTGTAAACTATTTCAAAAAACTAACTGATTTTTGAGAACTTTGAAAAAAAATGTTTTCTGAACTTTCAGCAGTTGGCAAAATCATTCAGCAAGATCTTGTTGATGTTCAACAGCATCATCACAAGCATAAACTTCTATTAGAAACCTTACGAAAACCAATTCATCATCATCATCACGATGAGGAAAATAATGATCATCACTTCTTCCGAATGGCAAATATTGAAAAAGTTTCAGTTTTGGAGGATAAAATTCCAAAAACAAGTGATTATGAACCGTTATCTTGGGCTTGTTTTGGGAAATGCAAAAAATCAAGAATTGACTTTTTGAGTAGGATTACAAATCAAGAGGTTTTTCAAGCTATGAGATTGGAACAGGAATTTATGGGTGAGAATGTGTTTATTGGATTTTCGTAAGTAGATATTTGAGAAAATTGAGGAAATTAATTGAAAATGAAAGTGATTTTGGAGTTGATGATTCACACGAGTTGGAACAGAATAAGAATTTGTTGCATATTTGTTACAAGTCACATGTTCATCATGGCTTTTTATTGGTTATTGATACAGTGGACGTTTCAGAAAATTATTTATTGAATGAATTGCCTTTGTGGGTGAAGGATTTAAGAAGTGTCATATCAGATTCCGTTCCAATCGTTCTGATTGGCAATAATGCTGATAAGAGAGACGCCCTACTATCAACTCAACATAAATTGGAAGATAGACTTCCTTTGAGTACAGAACAGGGAGAGAAACTAGCTGAAAAGTTGGGCTGTTTCACATATATAGAAATGGAAAAGGAATTGTCAATGGATTGTTTGAGACAATTACTTGTAAAAATTCATATCATTCATCAAGATTTGACAGTTCACAAATAAATAACTAGTTCAATAATTAATTATTCAAAAAAGAATTGCTTTATTAAACAGTATCCATTCCTTCTTCGACTGGAGATTTTGGAGTTTTAACACTTGATGCTCTTCTTTTAGTGGCTACATTCAAATCAACAGCTCGATCTAATTGAGCATTAGAACCAGCTTCTGCACCAACTTCAATGGTTCTTTCC